AACTGTTCTGGAACAGTGTTGTAAATACAACTTAACCACTGATTTCTAGTTGTGTCCTCTTTTGGAAGACCAAACAAAGTAGTTTCACTTTCACAACGAAACACACAGCGTCTCCACGACATGGGTGCGGCGGCAACAATACTACAGCGAGAATCAAAGTTACGCCTTCTTTCTTTGCGTAAACATTTGGGCGGTGTTATGCAAATCTTCCCACACAGTGACGTAGACATGAGGGGGCGTGTTTAAACGAGGCGTTTTAGGAGGACGTGGACGAGTCTTAACTTTTATAAAGAGTATCTCTTTGGGTTTGAGACTTTAGTCTTTGCAACTTTAGGGATCTTATCTATTCAGGAACAGCTTGTAACACTCCAAAGAGAAAGGAAAACTTGAAATCGCATCATATGACCCCTTTAAATGTTTTCAGCATATATTATCCCAGAAATGTGCAAAATGTAATGTAGTTGAAATTCATAGTAACTGTAATATAATTACAGTAACAACGTCAACATTTTTATTAAACCCGAGTGACTTCTGTTCTTCCACTGAAAGTCTGTTTACCATATTTGATGTGATTATATATGCTTTTGTCAGCGTTAATACGTGAATAAAGCCTATGTTAATTAAACTGCTCAATTAAAGTGGATTTCTTTTACAATCCATTTATGAACCTTTTGAACTGTCAAAATGTGTGAATGGACTTTAAAATGGAGGGACAGGAATCTTGGATTTCATGAAAAATATCTTCATTTGTATTTCAAAGATGAACGAAAGTCTTGAAATGTCAGAAGTGTGAGTATTTGATGTGTAGCTCCATCAAAAATGAAAACAGTGTCATTCTAACTGTGTGGCTTCTAGAGGAAAGCCAATTCCTTTTCAAAGCAAAGAGACATAACTGGGTGAAAATGCTCAGACTTATAATTTGGGCCAGTAAGCAACCATCTAGAACACCAACTTGGCACCAGCTTTTGTACTACTTGCATTTTCTTCATAAAATGAAGCATTTAGTTTAGACTTGTTTACTTGTATAATGGTAATGTTCTTGCAATGCAGAAGTTATCATAGTACATGAAAATAACAATTATGCAGAGTTATGTTTCATTTATTCAGTTCAGCTCCCATTCATTATTTAATGTGCAACAGCTTCAAAAGAAAAATAATTTTGAATTACAAACCAGGCAGAACTCAGACTAAAATCAATCTAATACACTTATATACAATGATACAATGTCCTTGTTTTTAATTTTATTAATTATAAATATATACTGTATATACACACAACTAAAACGAGCTTGGGTAAAAGGCAAACATACATGGAGGCAAGGTAAACTCATAGATGTAGAGCTACTGTACATGAATAAATAATATGTAGAATAAAGCTGAATAAACCGAGTGTAATAACCACTGGAACCCGAGAAATGCAGATCTAATATCAAATTTAAATGAATATCACATTTTAGTCTCCCTTTTGTTTTTTGTATGATCAAACTGATGCAAGAGAGTAAGTATTTAAACCTATAACATGGAACATGTAATATTCCAGATGGTATAATGGTATAAAAACGTCTTGTGAAATAGAGCTCAAACTACACAAGTTTATTGATTACTGGGCCACTTGGAATTTCTTATCAGAAAGTTTATCTAATAGCATACTGGGGCTCTGATGTATTAACTTACTGTGACTATTAAGGTATTTTGAAGCAGCATTGTTCACAAGCAGGCAATATGATATGCATCTAGGGCTGTGCGATTAATCGAAACCGTCATAAAATCGCGATTTAAGCTTGCGCAATTTCTTAAGCGCTTTATAGCACGATTTTCCACGCCCCCGACCTCCCACAGTATGCTATCCGAACCAATCAGAATGCAGCGCGCCTAAATGGAGCACGAGAACAGAACAGACCGGGCGGGCATACAAACGTAACACCAGGTTCACACACTCCGTCTGTGGTGCGTATTTTTTCCACGCCCATGTTAACGGATCAGAGCGTTCACACTGCACGCAATTGCGGTCCGGCAGTGTGCTCCAGGAGCGGTGCGTCTGCAGCAGTCATGCTGCGATCGTTTCCGCACGCAATCTATTTCTGCTGTGCTGCATGGGCTGAATTAAAGTGACAGCGCATTATTCGTGGTAAAAATTAACATGGATTGACACGGAAATTTAGTAATTACACCATAAATGCAAATAATTAAAGTCTACTGTTTCACAGTCAACACATGGCTTTTTAGCTAGATTTAAAAAGTTAAAGTGCACTTTTAGATAAACAAGGCAATAATACATGGCACTCGTGGTGGTAGTTAAACAAAGTTATATTTATTGAGTTTAAACGTGAATATGTCTATGAAAGATTATATTACTGTACTGTGATGAAAGAGAATCACAATGCTGAAAAAGCATTTTCAGAAACAACGTTTGGATTTGAAATCAAAATAATGGATAAATGTTGTGTTTGTGGTAAACAGCCGCGGATCAGGAGCGGACTGCAAACGCGTCC